CTTTCCCTCACCTCAGATAGATAGATTTTAGAAATATAGGTCTTCCCTATCATAGTGTAACTTAAATCAAACTGTTGTAGCTAGCATTTCACTACAGTAACATTGCCAGAGATGCACAGTATATACAGACCAGCACAATAATAGATGTAGAAAAAATGAAGGATAACCAGGCAGACACACAAGTGGAAATTAATCTGCTGAGAACTGTTACTTATTTTCTCCCCTAGACAAAGCCCTTGTACAAAGCCCAGTGTATCTGGCACAAAAAGAAGGATTCAAGTCTATCAGGCCTGATTTCTAATTGGTACAGTTTAACCAGTGAAAACTCCTTCATATAACTCCATCGGTTTAATCATTCTGTGAGCCAGTTAAGCTAAACTGATTTAATAGAAGAGCAAATCAGTCTTGCTGTATATAGCCAGAGTACCCGCTCCAATTTAACTGAATGAATTTAAAATCAGTCTCAGAAAATCTGGGCAAAGCTTGCAGGGATATTTCCAGTCCTTTCAGAGAAGAGAAAGGCTGAAGGGAGACCGTCTCCACCCAAGACCCTTCCTGTCTTCTTTTGCAATGAATCACACATCCCAGCTTTGCAATGAATGAGGTTTCCAAAGGCAGCGTTTACTCCGGCTCTCACTCCCATGCTGTAGCACCATGTGTTTTACAGCATTGTCAAACATAATGATTCCTACCCTGGAGAGAAATTGGGTCCCGTTTTATATTTTATTGCCTCAGAAAGGACATTTTTTACTTTCCACAGTCCACAGTTGGCAGCAACAGCCCCATAAATCTTGCCAAATGCTTTTTGTTGATATATTGTTCAGCAAGAAGTCTGTGAGGCTGGGGCCAGCATGGAGTAAACAAGTTAATGGCCTCCTGATCCATGTCCGAAGAGGGAGAGCAGCAGGGATCAGGAGTGCTGCAAAGTCACTACAGACAATGTCCAGCACCTGGTGGGTGAGCTAAGACACCACCAGGAGTTTGTTTCCCACGCTTCATCCAGAATTATATGGAAGTTGCAATGCTTCCTAGCCCCCGTGAAAGGGGGCCTTACACCAGAAAGCTCACCTAGCTGTGGTGCCAGCCTACTCTGCCAGTCCTCGTGTTTGCTGCAACAGCTCTGGCTGGTTCTGACAGAGCATGATTGTGGGGGAACCTGCAGGAGCCCCAGTGCATGCCAGCACAACTCATGGAAACCAGCATAAAGGAAAACTGGAAGGAAAAGCAAGAACTTGTGCTGGTGAATGCATCTGCATAAAAGCAGATTTCACAGCTGAAGGGACAGAATGCACAGTATGAGCACAGAGGAATGAATACAGGGGAGACACAACTGCCTGTCCATAGGGAGCAGGCCTGGTGCAGTTGCTCTGCATGCTCTCTGGTAGGAGGGTAAGCACGTGAGATTGTTAGATGTAATTGTGTTGGACATGGTTGTAAGCAGTCCCTATAAAGCAGATGAACATGTTGGCAGATGCAAGAGCAAGTTTTGGTACATGTGTCTTTAAATTTAAGTGGACAGTGATCATAGAATCATAGAATCATTTAGGTTGGAAAAGACCTTTAAGATCATCAAGTCCAACCGTTCGCCTAACCCTGCCATCCCACCACTAAACCATGTCCCTAAGCACCTCATTTACCCTTCTTTTAAATACCTCCAGGGATGGGGACTCAACCACCTCCCTGGGAAGTCCGTTCCAAATCCTGACAATCCTTTCTGTGAAGAAATTTTTCCTAATGTCTAATCTAAACCCGCTCTGGCGCAACTTCAGACCATTCCCCCTCGTCCTATCGTCTGTTACCAGGGAGAAGAGGCCAACCCCCACCTCGCTACAGCCTCCTTTCAGGTAGTTGTAGAGGGTGATAAGGTCTCCCCTCAGCCTCCTCTTTTCCAAACTAAACAACCCCAGTTCCCTCAGCCGCTCCTTGTAAGACTTTTGCCCTCACCAGCTTTGTGGCTCTCCTCTGGACATGTTCCAGCAACGCAACGTCTTTCTTGTAGTGAGGGGCCCAAAACTGAACACAGAGGACCCGGCACTTGGCCTTGTTGAACCTCATACAGTTGGCCTCGGCCCATCGATCCAGCCTGTCCAGGTCTCTCTGCAGAGCCCTCCTCCCCTCCAGCAGATCCACGCTCCCATGCAGTTTGGTGTCATCTGCAAACTTACTGAGGGCACACTCAATCCCCTCGTCCAGGTTGTTGATAGAGATATTAAACAAGACCAGCTCTAGAACTGAGCCCTGGGGGACACCGCTTGTGACCGGCTGCCAACTGGATTTAGCTCCATTCACCACAACTCTCTGGGCTCGGCCATCCAGCCAGTTTTTTACCCAGCAAAGAGTACTCCTGTCTAGGCCATGAACTGCCAGCTTTTCTAGGAGAATGCTGTGGCAGACTGTGTCAAAGGCTTTGCTGAAGTCCAGGTATACAACATCCACATCCTTTCCCTCATCTACCATGTGGGTCACCTGGTCATAGAAGGAAATCAGGTTGGTTGGGCAAGACATGCCTTTCATGAACCCATGCTGGCTGGGCCTGAACCCCTGATTGTCCTCCATATGCCTGGTGAGCACACTCAAGATGAACCTCTCCATAATCTTCCCTGGTACCAAGGTCAGGCTGAGTAGTCTGTAGTTCCCCAGATCCTCCTTCCGGCCCTTCTTGAAGATAGGCGTCACATTTGCCAACCTCCAGTCATCTGGGACCTCTCCTGTTATCCAGGACTGCTGATAAATGATGGAGAGAAGGAAGGGAAGATGCTTGTTCTTGCATTATGGGAGTATCGAAGATGTGCATTATATGTGTGTTAGTTGGTCCAGTGGTAGCATATGTAGGTGACACACTCTACTTGTGTGTTAGCACATGTACATACTGATACACACAGCTGTCCTTGAGCCAAGCCCTAATTTCTAATAGACTTGTCCTTTATGGGTGATGACAGACCCTCTGCCTGGGAAAGAGATGTTCAGCTTGATTCCTCTGGGCAGCTAATGAGCCGCTTCCCTCCTCTCTGTCTTTGTCCCTGTGCTCCTCCCTGAGCTCCAACAGCACTTTGCGTGTAATGAAGAGATAATGCCATAATGACTTGATATATTACACTCAGCCCAGTCATAATGCCTTGGAACAACTAACTGCCACTGTGCAAGGGCTCTAGCAACTCAGCTGGTCATGTCCAGTTAATGCAAAGCCCTGTATGCCTCTCTAGGCACAGGGCCCATTCAATGGACCTTCATCGTGCAAAACAGAAGCAAATCTCACAGTGCCAGATGTCCCAAGCTTTACTGCCCCACACTTTTCCTCCAGCCACAGGGCAAGAATGCAGTCCTACAGACACAACCCATACCAGTCACTATGGTTGGCTGTGATTCCTTATGAGCTGAAAAATTCTCCTGAGGCCTCAAGAATAAAAATACTGCTAACCCTGGCTGGAAGCATAATGAACAGGAAGAAAGATTGATTGCTATGGCTGTAATTAAGTGAGAGGCTTTGATAGCCTCATAAGCTGCAAGAGCCAAACCAAAGTCCTGATGTGGAATTAGAGTGGCAGAGCCTCCCTCCCTGCACCCCGCCACCTTCTTCTGTTAGGGACAGCACCTTATGATTCTGAGCACGCAGCTGCCCTGCTCCAGGCTTTATAGGCTACAAGTCATTTTAAGGGGAAATGGAAGAAATGAGCTTCCCACAGATGAGCATGATAGGAGGCTCAGGGACTGACGACATGTGGGAAGGAGCAGGAATTGGCAAGCTGCCTCCCACCCTGTGCCTCACCTCCCACCCTGTGCCTCACCTGATTATAAGGTGTCTCTCCACATTAAACAGAGCATTGCATCCATTTATAGTCTGTGAACAGTGTCTCATATCCAGGGCAGGAGGGCATGGGGAGTGGGGGCAGAAGAAGGAGGGAATCATTATCCACCAAGGACTTGAATTCAATGAGATTTACACCCTTCCTCAGCCATAAACATTGCTGAGAACTCTAGAGAAAAACACACTTGCTCAGCAGAGGCAAATGCTGCCTGCCAGCCTACAGATGCTCAGCCTCCCCTGCTTGCCAGTTCCCTAAGGATAACCGAATTCTCAAAGAGGATGCAGCTCTCACCATCCCACTCCTCTCCCATTTGCACACAGAAGCAATGTCTTCACTGCATACCTCTTTCACAGTATGAGTGGTGTCCCTGAAGGGGCCAAGACACATGTTTTTCCCTTAGGGTAGCTAGTTGAGGCTAGCACTCTGCCTGCCAGCCCCCTCCATTTTGCGGCACAGCCACCAGTATGTTTTCCCGTGATGGAATAGGACACCACACCATCCCTCTCCCCCAGCTCCTCCTCTCAGCCCAGCTTGCCACATGTAGTGCCTCTGTGCTGAAATGGCTGCTTGTGACAACAGAAAACCAGGATCCTCGCATACATGTCAAAAAAAGAACTTTCCAGGCAGCTTGGCAAAGATCTCAAAGATCATCACAGCAGCCTCCTTTATGAGCCTCTCTGCCTTCTCCCCTAGGTCCAATGTTCTGGCTCCAGTAATGCACAACCCTTTCAGTAAACATTCTCTTGTAAGCTGTAATCCGTATTTTTCCTGCAGCTCATGAGAGATACATGGGTCATGGGAAACAAAATTTATGCCAGCCCTTGAGCTTGCACTGAACTCAGGATAAACTCAAAACAAACAGAGCCTTTCCTACCTCTCTGAGTTTGCACTCAGCTTCACACTGCCATTAAGGCACCTTGCCCTCCTCCTCTGCTTCTGTCCCACACAGAAATAGAAAACTCCCCAGCCCATCCCACTCTTACCTCTTACCACACAATTCCCTTTCCTCAGATTTGTCCATAGCTACTGTCCTCTATTCCACTCTAACATTTTTACCTACTATTTTGAGTATGTGCATGTTAAATGTTTTTTCTTCTTAGAAGTGATTCAAGAAATAACCAGGAATATCCTCCTACTTCACAAGTTCCAGGAGGTGATAGGTCCTCACAATAAGGTGGGGGAACAGAGGAAACGAGAACTTCTTGATCCTGCTCCTAGCTCTGGCACTAGCGTTTTCTGAATATCCAACTACTTCCTAGGGCTGCCTCAGTTTCCCCACTGCAACTGTCTCACAGAGACACTGTGAGACTGAGTTATCTGACATATATAAAAAACCGAGCTCTTCAGATGAGAGGAGCGAGACAAGGTCACAATCATATTGTGACATGATGCCTTTGAGCTTCCTTGTAACCAGACAACAGCTCAACTAGCAAGATCCTATTGTAACTGATGTCTGAGCCAGACTGGAGGATTCACCGGTATCATCTCAACTTCACAGTGCCTCTCCCCTGCTGTGGTTGCAGTACATTCCCTTGACCAGGATGTCTGACCCCAGCACAACCCCACTTCAGTCTTTGTCCATCACACATTGTTGGCCTTGAAACTCAGAGCACCAGGGATGACAGACATATCCGGAGAGTGACAGACGACCAGAGTCAGCAGCATGCAGCCTGTTGCCATGGAAATTCGAGCCCCCTTTTCAAGCATCTGTGCAGCTCAGGGGAATGTGGCCAGCTCCCACTGTGAAAAATCTTTGTAAAGAGTCCCACGGAGAGTTGGTTTTGTATCCCACAATTGCTCTTTGCTCCCCAGCCCAATTATGTGTTCTAGCAGGAAGCGACGGACCACAGCTTGGCTCAGGATGTATGACGTCAAGGAGCCTTGTCTAACAGATGAGCCTGCAACCCAGGACACAATTTTCCAGTACAAAAATTCTGCAGGAAAATTTCAAATTTTTTTTTTTAGATATTGGAAGAGATCCATTTTCACTGCTATGACACAGGGCAGTACCAGGTGACGCCACTCAAAAGTATGCTCTTGGGAGATCTGCTTATCTGAATGTGCATAAGTTAGATCTTGGAGACTTATCTATTTGTCCAGTACATTGATAGGCTTTTCTTGGATGTTGGCAAAGGCATTGTCATAGGTGGGACACACAAATAAATAAGTAAAATAAATCCTATCACTAGGACAGAGGGGTGCTGGTGGAAAATTCCAGGAAACAAACCAACATTTTTGGCTACTGCATATTTTGTAACTGCAGAAAATGCAAGCAGAGCATGGGAGTTATTAACTATTTCTCTGTCATTTCCAAGCTTCTGTCATGTATCCACATCACCACTTACACACATATAGGCAATAGTATGGAGTATCATGACCAAGAATGTTTTTTTCCTGCACAAGTTCATGATATTGCATATCAGCTGTGCATACTGCATATACATTGTCATGTGCTCAAACACAAATGTGCATGCCACTGTATCTATATATGCACATATGGTGCTCATCAAGGCATAGATATGATGCTCGTGAAAGAAGATTATGTTCCCTTCAAAGGTGTAGTCACTTACGAAAAAGTTTTGTCAAGCCTAATTACCTGCACTGTTTTCCCCATTAAATGACTTTGCAACTCCAAGCTTTCTTTCCCAATTGCATTGATCCTTTTGGTTCTTATGAAATAACAGGTATTTAAGTGAGGCTGCTGCTGGTGGAGGCTCCTGCTGTAGAAGCCAGGTAATGAGCACTAGGAGCATGCTTGGGCTTTCAAAGCTCCAGACAGCTTCATTAACCAAACAAGGGCCATGCGTCCAGAGCTGTACAAAGAGGCAGGGGGTGTGATGTAGAAGAGCTGTAGCCTGAGACTGAAGACAACAGTTCTTCATTACATTATTGTACACGTGGCCCTCTGGGAGCAGCCAGTTGTTCAAGGTGTTGTGATAATAAGCTCTCCAAGGATGCCGGCTTTGTGATGTCCAAAGCACAGACATTTGAGATCCTCCCCCAACAAAAGCCCATGACAAAACACCCTCAAGACTTTTCCTTTCAGGCTTCATTCCAGAAGCTCTGAAAGACACTTAAAACTCTAGTTCAACACGCCTGGTTTCTCATGCAGTTTCTTACACAACCATTAAGCAACTGTCAAACACTGCTGTAAAGGATGACTGATGCCTTTTCATCATCAGTGGCCCAAAGCCCTCCCCAAAAGGCACTGCACCCAAGAGATAAATCACTATTTGCTAAGGATACTTCCTGAAATCCACAGTTTATGCTATAAAATGCCCCTGACCAGCAGTTTGAAAAGTTCCTTCTAAACTTAGCCATGGAGATCTCTCACAATCCAAACAGCCTCCCCAGAGAAGAGAGAGATTTACATCCTGCTTGTCTTTCCTGACATCTTCTTCCAGTGAACTTCAATGATGATAAACATGACAGGCACTGTAAAACCCAGCAAGTGCACTATTCTTTTCCTCTTCCCACCATTGCCAGTATAAATATCATGCTGAGTCCCAGGGGCTAAGTGCCAAATTAAAATAATGCTCTCTTTGGACTGGGGATCTGGGTTCTCCAGAACAAGAAATCCGAGGTGGTGGGTGAGAAGGAGGGAGGGTTGCAGTTAGATCCAGGGACACCAACAGGAAATATTTTCACACTAAATTTCACAACCCCTCCACGGATTCCAATGAACAGTTATTAAGATGCACCCTAGAGGGTCACCATAAAGACAGATCATCCCATTCCACTCTCTTGAACATCTCTGTAGCTCTCGAGGCTGTGTATCAGTGGGGAAACTCCTTCCCTCACTCCCACCCCTCTCTGCCGCAGTGCGTTTCTGGGTAATCCCAGGGGAAATAATTCTGGAAAAGAGGCCAGAAATTTAATCAAGAACTGCATCAATGAACAATTTGTTTCACTGGGAGCCAGGATGAGACTTGGGAGATGAGAACAGAGGCACGGAGCTGAGGGACAAGCAGCACTAAGGGGAGTGCTCAGTATTCACATGCAAGTCTCAGCCCCATGCACATGGCATTTTTTAAATTGTCCTGGGTCTGCTGTTGGGTGGGTGAATTGAGCTCCCAAGCTTTGGTTACACAGGTACAGTTTTTGTGCCAACAAAGACTTTTGGTCTGAGCTCAACTGGAGCAGAGGGAGTGGATTCATACTGGACACCAAAGCCCTAGGCAGCCCACACCCAGACACAGTGCAAGGCTGAGATGGAAACCAGAGAATGTCAGTCGTGACAAACAATAATTTCCATCCTGAAACCAGATGGGGAATCAAATACCACAAAAATCCTCCTGAACCTAAACTCCCTGCCTAAAAAAAATCTAGTTGGGTCAATCAATAGGTTTCTTTGCAATAATTTTAAACCAACTCATTTTATGTCAACCTTTAAAAGAGGTATTTTTTTTTTTTTTGGTAAATTCATTTCTTATTTGAAAGCATAAATTTTAAATGTAAAAAAAAAAAAAATTCAACAACTTGTAAATGTTTTTTATTAAGAAATCCTGTTTGCTCCTTTTCCAGCAAATCAGAGCTGCTTTTCTCCACAGTACCAGTCTGCTATGTGAAGGGATTTGGGGTCTCCAAACTAGGGCTGCAAACCTCCATGCAAACCCTCCTGCAATTCTCGGAGGATGTGAATCTATGCCTCATCACTTTGTAGGCATGCAGGCAGGGTCACAATGGTTTAATCTCATAATTTTCTTCCCCCAAAGAGCTTGGAGCATGGGACTCTGCTTATAAGATTTCATACAGTTAGGGGCTAAGCACCCCTAAAGAACCATGCAGTCTTTCCTATCACAATAGAGAAACTCCACACAAGCAGTTTCTCCCTCGTGACCTTCCTGTTAGCATCCTGGACTCCAGTCCAAACACCTGCATCTCCATGAAATTGCTTCAAGATTACCATGAACTCATCTTGAGCCTCATTTTCCTTTTCCTCTTTTTCTCCCTGATCGTGAGGCCTTACCCATATGACAGCTTCATTACAAGTGACCTTCAGCACTGGCTTTGTTGGGAAAGTGATTTAGAACCAAATTACTGATCTATTTCTTTCACCTCCTCCCTCTTACTGGAGGCAGCAATAGCAGTACTGGAGAGACTGAAACAGCACATTTTGAACACATTACAGAAGGGGAGACAGAGCAGAAAGCCATCCTCCACCACAGTCCAACACAAAAGGGCCAAACTGTTCTTGGAGAAATGCCAAAGCAATTGTACAATTTACTCCAAGGGTACAGATGAATCTGATTTAAACCAGCTGGGAAACAGCTCTTAAGGAAGTGGGGACTCTAGTGAGAACAGATGGAGGCAGCTGGAAAAAACAGGGGGCAGGTGGCTGCTTGGAAGACAGGATCACTCTGGCACATGGGCAAAGCAGAACGGAGTTGGCAATATAGACCTTGTTGTTGTGGGGTAGGTTAAATCTCACTGCAACCAGTGAGAAAAGCAGCTGTCTCTGATTCAGGCTAAACCAAAGAACACTCTTTGATACAAACTATAGCAATGGAGGTTACCATTCAAAACACAAGGACAAGGGTTGATTTGGGTTGAGCTACAACACAGAGCTGTGAACTTTACTGTAGACTAATGGTGGAAGGGGCATTTGTGTGTGTGTGAAAGAAAAAAAAAGAAATGAGAAGATGAAGGAAAAAAAAATAACCAGAGCTGGAGCAGATCACCAAAACCAGTCAGAATAAGCAAGGGAAACCTGAATAAATCAGAGAGCCATGGTACTGGAGAAGAAGGTGATTAAAGAGTCCTCTGCCTCTGCGGCACTATTAGCCAGAGAGAGTTAAAAGCAGAGTAAGTGGGGAAGCAGAAGC